GAGTCACCTGATGTGGTTTACTCAGAAGGTAAAATAAAAGATCCTATGAGATTCGATGGAGTCTGATGGACTCCGGGGATATGATGGCGTATTTCAACTGCGAAGGACATTAGCTTTTCAACGAGCTCTAGCTCCCTTGAGCTGGTATGAACTCGTTAATGGTTTATTCCCCAAAACGGAACATTTTGCTCTGCCAAGGGATCCAATTCCCAGAACAAAACAAAAGTGTTCCGTTTTTCGGGAAAACATCCGCACGGCAGCAGATTTTTTGTTCTGTTATGGGAATTGACGCCCTTGAAAAAGTAAATTTGTTCTGTTTTTGGGAATCGAATTTCATAACACGACAGTTGTTCTAGCATGGGAATACAACAATGACAAGTTTTTAAAAGAAGGCCAATAGACTCGGTCAGATATGACTTGTCTGGAGTCACTTGAAGTCAGTTGAAATCAATTGAAGTCATTTGGAGTCAAGTGGAGTCAGTTGGCGTGTTGAAGTCTGGAGTCCGCTGTTTCCCCCCTTGGGTATAATACTAGAAAATCAGCAGTGAAAATATCAGTTATTTGGTAAGTAGCAGAAGATTGAAAACGATTGATACCTAATAGAATTATTCTTCAGTAACTAAACCGTCTTCTGCAATAAACAACACTGTGACACAGACATGGCTCCGTTCATGCAAGATATTAAGTTTTGAAGCCTCTGCTACTGTAATTGTATGATAGAAAAGTTTTACAGTAACCATACCTGACTCTTTTAAGCGCTTTCATCACGCACAGAAATTCTCGGTAACGATACATCGGAGGATGTTTTTCTTTTTTTGGATTTGTAGATAACACCTATAGCTAGGAGTTGACAGAGTCCGATTTTTAAATTATGCTTCTATTTTTTATGGAAATGAGAATTTCTGAGAAACCTTCCCAGGATTTTTAGGATTTTAAAGTTCTATTAAGCACCAGAAATCAGTAAATGATAAATTCAAAAATCTGTTTCGGCTCTGTCAACTCCTAGGCATAGGTGTCTGCTGCAAAATAAAAACAGCTCGAGTCCTCTATCATTTACCTCGAATGAGAATTCCTGTGCGTGGTAGACGCCTCTGTTTGGCCCTTGTTGTAGCGCCCTCTCACGAACAGTTACAAGTGACGCCAAAAAAGAATTTCGTTACCGCACTTTGACATGGTCAACATTCTCTGAAAGTTTGGTTGAGATCAGACCTACCTGGGCTGAGATATGTTTCTGACCCGAGGAGGGGCCTTAATGCTGCATTATTGTTAGAATCAGATGACGGCGATAATATGAAAGTTGACGATGTTATGTCTTTCTCCGGGTTCATCTGTTGCGATGTTATGGCTATTTCACCCTTTTGGAGTTCTGTTGTAAACACATTGTTCACGTCGACAGCTGACTGCGTTTTATTTTCACGGGTTTCAATACCTGGTTGAGGCACTACTGTTATATTGCCCGGTGTACTTGTAGTCAGTGAATTTTCACGACTAAATTGAATGACAGCGCCATCTAATAAACCTTACATACGCAGAAAGAAAGCGAATAACATACGTTGGAGGCAGATTTTGAGTTTTGGGTGGACGAGGTGGAACTGGTGGAGGAGGACTTGGATCGCGGCTTGCAGGAGGACTTGGATCATCAGGTCGTTCGTCTGAAATAAGTCAGAATTCAGTGAGGCAGCGGGTTTTTGTGTAACCGAATTAATTATTACTAACCATCGCTAGGACAAGCATTGTTTTCTAAAGTCAATTGAAAGAAAAGTTAAAGCAACAACTGCAGACGAGACAAGCAAGGCAAAAGGAGTCAATCAATTTGAATTGAACCTAAAAATCTTCCGTACAGGTCAAGTTAGAAGTTTAATCTGATACCGGGACCTTTTGGCCTAATTGTTTGCGCTGAACACACTTGTTTTGACCTTTATTTTGTTGAAGAGAAAAGGCATACAGACTATCGAGCGCGATACTCATTAGAGACATATCTGTCATAAGAGAAGATAGAGAAAGAGAGATAAAGAGTACTAAAACAGATACAAAAATAAAGTAATGATCAGACAACAAACAAAATGAGTATATGATTGAAAGCGAAGCAGGGGGTATTGGATATCAGAAAGCAAAAATATGGAACTGACTCATTTCGGTTCCTCGCCTAGAGTTGTCCTTTGCCGCGCGGTGTAATTGATTAGAATGGAAAAAGAAATGACGAGACGATGGCCTAGAATCCTTTAGTTTCTTCTATATGTTGAGCCACAACGTTCGCAATTAGATAGATCTCGTTTTGTTGTATAGGGATGTTCTCAAATAAGTAAAAATGACGTTAATCTGCATGATATAGACGATAGTTTTCTAAATAAGATAACTCTGTTGGATGTATAACGGATAATTGAAAAGTAGTGATCAATTGTTTCTGTCTGTCCACAAGGATAATAAGGAGATCGTGCACATTGTCTTTCGTGCAAGCAATAGTTCAGTTTAGGAAATTTATTCTGAGCCGCATGAAAACCTTTTTCAAACACCTTGAAGTAACCTCAATGTGTTTGATAATGCTACCTGACCGCTGATAAAAAAATTCATTTTCGCCAACAAAATTGCTCTTAATTTGTACGGTTTTAGCATACGTGCATTTATAGGCAAACGCTCGATTCTTCTAATACGAGGGTGAAAAAAGAATCATGTTTGTCTGTAGCTTCGAGAATTTCTTAATCCTTACTACGTAAATGATAATGACTATTTATAGGACGTCGGCGTAGACGTTCAGCTAAATATAAAGGAGCTATACCGCACATTATTTTACTCAAGGTAAGTAAACGAAGTATCTGGAAATGTTCTCTCAACGTTGGTCATGCTCGGATCTGTAACGCAACTCGTTTCGGATGAACCTTTCAAAATACCAAAAACTGTTTGAGTGGCTGAATACTAAATTGTCTCTAGTTTTTGAAGGTTCATCTCAGTTGTTAAGGAGTACATTATTCCGCCATAATTGAACAAAGGCAAGAGATAGGCTTTATAAATGATATCTAGTGTATTCTTACATAGGGTCCAGCTGTGGACGTCATTAACGCATACATACACTTTAAAAAGAATGCAGCTTCTAGAAAGACAGATAAGTCGGATCCCAAAAAGGCGCATTTTTATTGTCTCCTTTGAAGACACATGATGCAACTTTACCTGGTAGTCACTTTATAGCGTCTTTGCTCTAGTCGCATTAAAGACACGTAAGTCGGATCACATTTAGTCGTATTTTAGCGTCGTTTTTGAAGTCGTGCTGATGTGTCTTCTGGAAATGGTGCAATAAAAAAAAGTTTGCTCCAGTCAAGGATTGTACTCGATCTATTCGCTTACGAGACGAATGTGTTCACCACTAAACCATACAATTATTATTTACTTAGTTCTTAGTCTTATTAGTCTCTTACGTTGACATTTCGTGTGAGACTTTGATTAAAAACTTAGAGACACATGGAAGGCGGGATAATGTGACTAATAAGCGTCTCTCGTTCACACGTCTTCCATGCGACTCCAATGTGCCTTCTATATGCCTAGGCATGCACCAGTTACAGTTAACTACAAAACTGTAAAACTGTACCTGCTCATAACTGTAGACAAATATTGTAGAGTGATTAGTCTTGTACGATTTGCATGCTAAAAATGTCTATTCTTAAAATGTATGCAAATGGTAGAAGACTAACTTACTCTAAAATATTTGCCTACAGTTATGAGTAGTTACAGTTTTACAGTTACACAGTTATGACAGTTACAGTTATCAGTAGTTTTACAGTTTTACAACTATAGTTAACTGGTACAAAACTGTAATTGGTGTGTACCTATATATGCCTACCAGTAGACATAGTGAAGATATATAGACGACACCTATTGTTTTTGTAGACGCAATCTAGTCACATACAAGACACTTTTTCTTCGCAGGCACATCGCTGATGTCGTATTTTTTTTAGAGTGTAGAAGGGCCTCGATTACACGGTTTGTCAATACGGAGATTCCAGATCACGCCCTATGACAGGTATAGTCCCATATATTTTACGTCAAGCAGTTTATTCAATGCTTTTTCATTCAAGAGGAGGCGCGGCAAGCTGTCAGCCTGTGTTACAAACTAGCTTTCTGAAAAGTCAAGAAGACTAATCAGAAGAACTGTGGCGTATGTGACATACGCCACAGTTATATCAAACATGGACACAGAACAATATCAAACATGGAAACTTATATCGCCTGGTTCAGTTGTGTTGAATCGTTTCAGAAAAGAACAAGTACCAAGATTACCAGAGATAATCGATGATCAATAGAAACAGGTGTTTTTTTAGTTACAACGTTATTTATATGTTAAGTGGCCATATTTCTCTCTCCTTTTTTTCGAATATACGCGCTAAACAGAGAAACGGTCTTTTGATTTTTCTAGCCGGGGAAATTTTTCAAAAAAGCTCCACCGGTCGGGGAAATTTTTCGTTTTAGCGGCAGATTCTGCACCTCTGCGTATGTGACAATATAATGAGTATTTATTCTACGAGAAAAGCGATATGAGACACTACAAGATAAGTAAATTCCCCAAGGTAGATAGTACTTTTCGAACATAGTACTTTTGAAGGACGTGATGAACAACATAACCTCCAAGCTATGTCATATTATTAGTTATTATCTCCGTTTATCATGCGAAAACTCAGAGTCTGGTTCCTCAACTCACGTGACTAGTAGCAATTCTTAATAGAAGTAGATAAGATCTTATTTAACGCACCGTAAAAAAACAAGTGCTCCAGGACACTTTTTTGGGCGATGAATGAAACACTTTTAAAAGCATCCTACTATCGGGCACTTTTTTTCAATCTTCACATTGACAGTAGCTCTAAAAAGTATCTCATTCATCTCCCCAAAAAAGTGCCCTGGAGCACGTCAGCACGACTCAGACACGTAACGATCCCTTCGATGTGGAAGCTTTTTAGGAGTTTTTTCTCTATTCAGCCTGAAAAATACATCAATAGACGCACTTTTTCAGGCTAATCACGAATATATCACTGTTAAAATTCGCAAAGAATAATTTTTTAATTAGAAAATTTGAGTTTAATTTTTTTTAAAAAAAAAGCCATGCCATTCAATAGAGAATCAAATTCTCAGCGAAATGCACTGATTGTTCAAAAGATCCGAGCCTCGGAACAATATTTTGCAGAGTAAACAAGTGTTTGTCAATTTACTGATTTTGAGAAATTTTTGGATACACTGGTGACACTTTTTAATTCAAGTTTTGACTCACGGATGCGAATTCTACTCGATACCATAAGGATCTGTCCAAATTAGATATGTCCTTGAGACTTTAGAAACGAAAAAAAATGTTGAAAAGGTCCGTTGATCCAGCAATACGAAAATGAATTTTTCCTAAGAAAATTAGTTTTTCAAACTTTTCTTTTAATTAGAATTAAGTCCAAAATGTTTTCTACAAAATGTACTCCATTATTTTCTAAAACACTATATTATCCGTAAAAAATGTACAGAAAGGGAGAGTTCTATGCTTTTAGAGGTCGAAAAACATCGCGACGTTATGCTTTGCATTTTTCAGCCTGAGGCCAGATAACGAACGCTGGTTGATTTTATCTACCGAATGGTTTGCTACACAAAATGGTCAAAAAATCAAGGTTTTAAATGTCTTACTTTTGTAGGAAAGGAGAAAACAGTGTGAAAAAAAGTCAAAGTGCTACACTTGCCCAAGTCGTCACACAGAACGCATCCATATGACCGATTTTGTAGTTCACATCATGTTCATGATTGAATTTTAAAACGACCATTGAAGAAAGTGATCGCTAGTTATTACGGATTTGCCGACGAATAACCGCATGTAAGAGCCAAATCTATTTTGATGTTTTCATTATCATTCAATTTATGTACGAAAAATAGCGCAGAAAATTCTTGGGTGAAAGCACTTTCGTCACGCTAATTTTCGTCACATAGAAAAAAGAAGTTTCATCATACGTGACAAAAGTATATGGTATTTTTGAAAAGTACCCTCCCACAATTTGGTCACAAGAGTGGTGAACTTTCGTAATCAACTTCGTAACATATTTACAACTTTCGTCACAGCCCAAAAAGAACTACTGAACTACTCCAATTTGGACTACTACAGTACGGACCCCCTCAGACCGAACTACTCACAAACGCGATAGACGTTTGATTTTGATATTTTGACTTAAGAAAAATACTTGAAAAGGGTTTACGCGTTTCGTTGAGAAAATACCGTGTTTGCAAAGACAAAAAGCAACAAGTTGTTACTCCAATTTGCACTGCTACAGTTTGCATTACTGCAGTTTGGACTACTACAACACTTTGGACTAATGAACTTTGCACTAAACCTCCATTTCATCGAAGCCGTTTCATGCAACGTGTGACGAAAGTGTCGACTTGTCTAAAAAATCAGACACTTTCGTCACATAACGGGTTAACCTTCGTAACCACTATTCGAACATGCTTAAACTTTTGTTACATGCCGTAAGAACTTTTGTCACATGTCGGGTGAATTTTTGTCACTGGAAAACAGAGCTTTCGTCATGTGACGAAATTTCGCTGTCACATGATGACGAAAGTTATGGTGACGAAAGCGCTGTGAAGCATATTATTTGACTAATCACTTGTGCTAATGCGAACACATTGTTGTCTATGCATGAACAATTATCTGTGAATACTATTAGTTTTTACTCATGGATTTCAGAAAAACTTTTTCTCGAGGATAGCCTACCCGTGAACACCAGAACTTTACCAGATGGTCAGTTTGTGTAGAATATACAGAGTCAAAGAAGAGGCTCAATACTGCTACGTTAAATAAGTTTAAATAGCAAGATGAGCGTTTTAGCAGTGATTAATCTTTCTGATCATTACTATACCAATTATTCGTTTTTGACTCTGTCGAGGTTTACTGAAACAAAAACAAATTCTAGGCTTATATTTAGAGAAACAACCCCAACGCATTTGAACAATCAATTCAAATGAAAGATTCTCTCAAATGGGACGCATCCTACCTTATATATTCAGCGCTAACGCCAGCAGAAGCTCTTTTAATAGCTTGAAGAAACACCCTGATCCATTCCTAAACAAAACAGATAAATAACATGACTAAGAAGGAAATCAAGAATCTGCAATCCGATTTATGCATTAATCATGAACCTAGTGCTTTCTCGCAGCTATTCTAGACAAA